GCCCTACACTCTACACCCCGATCGTAACCCTGAGAACCTCTGCACAGGACATCCTTTCAATCCTCGCGGGGTTTGGGCTAAAGAGGATTACTTGAAGGTCTCTCCAGAATGAGCAACTACACCTAAAACCCGAAACTCCAAACCCAAAACCCCAAACCCCTAAACCCTGAACCCTAAACCCCTAACCCCTAAACCCCTAACCCCTACACCCTAAACCCTAAACTCTAAACCCTGAACCTGAGCCCTGAGCAGGACCTCCTTGTGCCACTGTCGCCGAAGAACAAAGGGGCCCGGCCATGGCGATAGGGGACCTGCCAGCGGTAATTTTTTAGTGTTTTTTTTTTAAGTTTTTAGTGTTTTTTTAGGTTGTTAGGGTTTTTTTAAAGTTTTTAGGGTTTAGGATTCCAGGTTTAGGGATTAAGGGTTAAGGTTTCGGGTACTCTACAGCTCCTTTATGTCAAAAGGCATCTTTGAGCCGCCCCTTAAAAAGATGTACACAGCGTCGGGCATTTTAGGGTCGTGGGTTTGGGATTAAGATTTATGCTCGATATTTTAGGGTTTAGGGCTTGGGGGATTTTGGGGTTTCGGGTCTAGGAAAGGGAGATTTAGGATTCTTTGGTGAAGAAGTTTCGGATGGGACTTGAAGGTTCCTGGCCAATACTACGGTTGATGATATAAATCCTGCATTACCCTTAATAAGGAATATGCCATAATTACCATAGTTTAGGGTCCTTAGGGTAATGCCGGATTTATATCATCAAACTCAGTCGGAAAGTATATGCTAGCTGAGAGGTTCATGTGCTCGGCACAGCGAAGCACCCTAAACCCTGAAAACCCTCGGTTCTAGATAGCCAAATGCCTAAACCCCTAACCCCAAGCTTCGAACCCCCTGAACCCCAAAACACCAGCCAACCTTCGACCCAGACTACCTCGGCTCGCCCCACCCCACCACAACAACACTCTCATAACAACACACGATAACCAAAAAAGACAACCCTGCAACAGTCCATATCATAGGCGGCTAAATCCTGGCAACATAGGTCTTAGGATCCTAGGATCATAGGTCTTTGCTAGTCGAGTTGTAAGTAGAATGACCCCAGCTAGTGAAGGTCCTGTTGGATGTCTCAATCCCCCCTCAGGTGGAGGCTGAGCACAGCACTAAGGAAATGCAAGACCTAAGACCAAGGGCTTGGGATCCCTCCCTACACTTGAACCCCAAATGCTTAACCCTAAACCCGAAACCCTCTTAAATACAAGCTCCAGCTTCCAAGGGTAAAGTGCAGCAACATGAACTTGTATCCTGATCGGCTGCGTGACCTTTGTCCTCACCCATCCTGCCTCAACCGCTTATGCTGATAGGCCCTACTTGGAGGTTCATGGGTAGATATAAGTGGGTTATGAGTCCCTTAATACAGGTAATGACTATAGTTACCCTACTCAGGGCCCCACTTATAACCACCCATGAACCTCCAAGTAGTCAGGTCTTTCGTATAGAAAGCCTGGAAGTTACGGAGTGAATGATTGACAAAACCTCACGGATGTCACAAACTTGCCTGCGACAACTTTGGACCCGAGCAGTGACAAACGTTCCGACAAAACCAGTGAACTTAAAAGAATTACAAATTTGACCCGTGGCCCTGTAGGCACACCTTCGCTCAGCATGGCTTCAGGCGCTCGGCATGATTTTTTGAATGGCAATGGCGACTCACCCACACATAAACTCTCTTTCAGAGTGCTGCAATGCCACACGCTCAGGTATCCCCACTAGAGTCTCTGGAGCAGGCATCAATGCTGAAGACATCAGAACAACAGACGTGCACAGATCAACAGCTTTAAACCTTGCCATAACCCATGGTTAATGGCAGGAGAATGCCCATGTAAAAACAAAACCCGCCGCCTTCCGAAGCAAACACAAGCTGTACAAAGCCTTCGTAATGGTTCAAGCCAAACCAGCCTTGTCTGGTTACCATAATAAGGAAACCATCTTGTTTACTATGGATCCCGAATTTGGCAACTTACATTCAACTCGTTAGGAAGAACCTGAAACCCAAACACCTCAACCCCTAAATCCTTTAAACTGCTTAAATTCCTGAACAAGAACCCAGAAGCACGCCGTATTCTCTTGAAAGTGAGCGGGCTACCCTAAACCCTAAATCCTAGACCCTAAACCCTAAACCCTAAACCCTAGACCCTAAACCCTAAACCAAATTACTTTTTGACTGCCCCGGATCAGCCCAAGGGCTCCCCCACGTACGGTTTATGGTCTATGCCCTTTAGGTTCTTTACGCCTAAAAGGGCTTAGGGTTTCGGGTTTAGGCCTGAGGGTTTAGGCTTTAGGAACTTTAGACTTCTTTTTTAGGGTAAGAACTTGCTGTTTTCCGCGATCTCCTTATCGCACCTGGCTTGGAAAACAGTAGTCGCAAGCGAAAACGTGAAAGTGTGGCCAATATGGTCAGGGTTTAGGGTTTAGGGTATCCCACGATTTATGGGTGGAGTTTCCACAATAAGAGTGGTATGCGACAAAACCTGTCACAATGCTGCCAAGCAAGATTAATCTCCCAGGCAGTGTCCTGAAAGGCAAACATCCTTGCTCAGGGGCCGTGCTAATCTTCTCCGTATCGTTCTCATTTCATCTGTCTCGCTCTCGCTCGCAACTGGGGTAAGGTCCGAGGACCCGGGCCGAGGCCCCCCCATTCCTTCCTTGTTTGTGGAAGAAGGGCTTTGGGGTCGACTCTCTCTCTCTCTCCCTCCCTCCCTCCCCCTCTCTTCTTACCTTTGGTTAGTAGGGAATGAAAGAATGGTAGTTCTAGTATTTATACTTGTACCCCATTCCTCCATTCCCTACTAACCAAAGGTAAGTCTTGCTTGCACTCGGACAAGAGGCACGAGGCCTCCGCGCACGTGTGCGCCCCGGTCTGGCCGTCTGTGTGACACGTCGGCACCGGAACGAGGCGCCGTCTTGGACCGTGGTACTTACCTTTGGTTCGTAGGGAATGGGACGAATGGCGTACAATTATAACTACTATTACTACCGTTCTTTCATTGCCTACTAACCAAAGGTTAGGGTACCCCCCCAAACCTGTACACTACCTAGTCGAACCTCCCCCTGGCCTCGTCTTGCACCGGCTTGAAAGGAGCCAGCTGTGTTACTGGGCTCGGACAGTGCTTGTCCGGCTGCTTCGTGTGGTTCCGTCCCCCCGTTCAAAGCAGCACTCCCCCTCTCTGTCACTCTCCCTTTCTTTCTGCGACCCCTATGTCACTCTCTGTCTCTCTCTCTCTCCCTCTCCCTCTTCATCCAGACACACATGCTTCACAACTGCATCAAGAGGCCCAGATACAAAGCCTACAAAAGCTCGGTGAATGATGTCATGGCGAGGCGCGTCCTGCAGATGCAGAACGCGCCAAAACTAGGGTATTTAAGGGTTTTGTCTTTAGGGTTTAGGGTTTTAGGGCTTTAGGGTTTAGGAGCTTAGGGTTTAGGGTTTAGGGTTTGAGTTTAGGGCTTTTGTTTGTCTTCGCACCTCCTCCACCTGCAGGACGAACCCCGGCCGTTGTCCCCAGAATCAAAGCCAGCCAGCCAACGCCAAAAGATCGAATAAACTCCTTGTGAGGAGAAGATATACATACACACATATACATATATATATATATACAACTGTATATATATATATGTACAAGTATATGACATATGGCAGCAGCTAGTTTGGTGCAGAGCAGAGAACAACTGCACTGCTCTGTAGATGCGCGCGAGAAGCAGCTTTTTTCGAGCCCTTTGCAGCAGCGTGTTGAGCTCCCAGCCAAAGGCGCTTGAAAATTTCCTGATCGACCTGGGGGCGCGAGAGTCTAAGGAAGCCAAGCGAAGCGGAACCGAAAGCGAGGGTTGGAGTTGGGACACCGCAGCCGTTGCCTTGGTGACGCCCACAGGGATCAGAGCACCCGGCAATGCCTATGCCTCTTTTCGCACGCACATTGTGCAAGGCCAGGATGGCTCAGGACGCTCGGGCTGTGGACGCAGGGCGCTGGATCCCAGCCACGGCCCTTCTCCCCCACTGCGCAGCAGGGTCGGTGCGTTGCCATACCGGACGTGTTGAAGTCACACTTAGCTAAGGCCCTCAAACACAGCCAGGCTGAACAATGGCACGACTTGGAAAGCTGCGGAAACAATCGGATGCCCCGCAAAGGATCACCTGCACAGAAAGGAGAGTCATCGCAAGAGGTCTCTTGCGCGACTAGGTCCATCTTGCAGTGGCTGATTGGGATGGTGGCGGCGATACGATGAAGCAGGCCTTATTCAGCTGTCTTGAGTTCGCTTCAGGAGGCACAACCGACAGAGTGTGTCTCGAGACTTGCAATGGCCACTCGGGAAGAGGCACTCTCGAGACTTGCAATGGCGACTCGGGAAGAGGCACTAGAGGCCGACCACTGCCCAAGGGTGTCTTGCAAGCACAAACGAAGATATGAAGATGGTCTTTGTCCTCACCCGCTTGCTACTTGCTGCAGCACATGAGTACGCGACTGCAGGTCCTGAACAGAGCCGGAACGCCGCAGGGCCGGGCTGGCGATGAGCCGATGTGAGTCCTGAAGTCTGCAGTGCGGCTCAGAGCTTGCCGTCATCGGGCAGTGCCTCCCTCATGGAAACGCCAGACGAGACTGTCGTGGCCGAGACACTGTGCAACATCACGGGTGCGTGGTGCATCACGCGTACCGCGTGGAAGACAACCTGCGGAGAGGGGCCACTGCGAAAACGGTTGCGCTGCCCTGCACAGCATGCAGCCCTGGCGGCACAGGCACGGTAGGGAGGGGTTTATGCTGAAATGTCAGGTGGAACCTTGACGACTTGTCACAAGAAGAAAATATCATCCGGAGTCCGCTTCACGGCTAGTCGAACAAATCGGATGCTCGAAGCTCAAGTCTTTGGCTGGGATTCAACGACCAGCACAGTTCCCGGAGCTTTCGTCAGAGCCGTGACACTCATGGCACCCTTCTCTCATACCTTTTAACTAGCCTGGAGGAGACACCTTGGAGATTCGACGGGCCGTCATCGGACAGCTTCCAAACCTCTGACAGCGGAACTTCGACACCTGTTCTCTGCTAGGGGCCTGCCCCGAAGCCGGAATGAAGCTGGGACGAGAGCCCGCCAGCATCGCATCGAGCAAATGGCGCACATCGTGGCAGTTGTCCGCGATGTGCAAGCGTTTGACTGTAGTCTTCTGATCTCTCTTGAGGAAAGGAAGGAAATACTTTGACGGCGGCGGCGCCGGCCGTGTCCTACTGCTGGCCACGCTTGCAAGGGCCAGACCTACCGTGCGGGGCAGCGTGCGAAGTAATGAAGGCCCATCTTGGCGAAGGAAAGCGCAGCTCCTCTTCGAAGGCCTGGTGCAGGGACGTGAAGGCACCTTCAAGACAAGGCTTGGCGCCTTCCGCGGCTTTCGTGGCACGATACGACCCAACAGAGGCATGACCTTGAGGTGGCAAACAGCTGCAGACCAGCTGGAGCCTCTGCCAACAGCGACTTGGGTGAGGCAGCAACTCACGAGAGGCGAGGACCAGCGGCGAGGAGCTCGATGCATCAGACGTCGGTGCACCCATTGCTGGTAACGGCGAGCAGAAGGAACCGTGCCATCGCGCGTCTTCGACCTATGCTGTTGCCCCTCTGCACCAGAAGGCCCTGATCCATCAAACACAGCTCTTGGCTGCCTTGGCTTGTGAAAAGATGTTGGCTGAGGTTTCCGGAGCGCCTGGAAGCGACTGGCCAAGGACAACGAGTGCCTGTCAAGCCTGGCCCAGGCAGGCGGTCGCAGTTCTTCGCGACTCCGACAGGGGGCACTTCGGGCATCCGCATCTCTGAAGCTTCAAGGAGAAGAAGCTTGGAAGCTTGTGACAGCAAGGGGAAGCCTTGTGAATGCTGCGATTGTTCCACCGGTGCAAAACAGGGATTACAGGAAAAACCGCACTGAGAAGGTCTGTCCTGACTTCGGGCCTCGTATGTGCGATGGGGGCATCAGAAAGGGAGGAGCTCGGGAACAGATATGCCTGCTCCATGACATCTCTGCAAAGTCTTGGTCCAAGTGCTGGACTTGAAAGAGAAGGTAGGAAAGAACTTTGGAAAAGAACGGAAGCAGTATGATAGGGGCTCTGTCTGCTGGTCTGCAACATGCTGCGGGCCGCTAGCAGTCCTTGCTCAGATCAATGCCGTTGTGACGCCGGCGTGGAGTACAGCACATGGACGGCAGGGGCCTTGATCTCAGACCAAGAGGCGTCTCTCGGGCACTTTCGAACTGCGTCTTGTTTGTAAGGATCTGCGCAGATGAGATCCCTGAGCCCTAAACCCTTCTCAGGCCGAAAGCCGGCAGCCCACCGTCAGACACGGCCGCATCTGTCAGGCACTCAGGGGCCAGAGGTCAGGGCATTGTCTCCCCAACATCAAGGGCACTTTGTCAGGGAAGGAGACTGGTGCCCCGAAGCCTGGTGAACCCCAAAAGGGTTTATATAACATACATCGGGATTCATAGTATCATGGTATCGGGCCCCTACTTATGAGGGCCATTCGGTCCCCCTAGCGGGAGTCTACTGCTGTGAAGCTTGTGGTTGCACCTGGATGCACGATCCGATCTCATATCGAGGGGGCAGGGATCCTTTGCAGCAAGACTGTAAAGCGCCCTATGTACAGGCTGCGTACAATGGTGACGGTAGCTTCCCTGCACCGCTCTTGCGAGGGCAAAGGGCCGAGCTTGAGCTCTGTCGAGCCTCTTCGTGACCGGAACGGCCAGTGGGCATGTCTTGAGCGCTTGCTGGGCAGGCAGAATAGTAGCAGGGATGCAGCAAGGCCTCATGTCCCATATTGGGAGGTCTACCAGGTCGTCTACCAGCACACTGGAGGCAGGTGCTTGCACCTGGGCGCACTATACGATCTCAATTCGATTTCAAGTCGAGGGGACAGGGCTCTTTTCCGGCAAGAATTTAAAGCGCCCTGTGCACAGGCTGCCCCGCAGCGGTCTTCTGAGGGCAGAGGGCAGAGCTTGAGCTCTGTCGGAGCTCTTGACAGGAATGGCCCGTGGTGCTTGTCCTTGGTGCAGAGTCAGCAACATGGAACAGAATGGGTGTGTGCGTCGCTATCAAGGCCCGGGTTCTTAGAGCACAAGATGGGTCTCAGGCCTTTGCAGGCAGACAGAAGCTTGCTTCACGAGCAAAGCCGCTGTTTCGAGCCCATTGTGGCAGCACTGGCTCCTGAAACCAAACCCTTCACACTTGCGGCTGCCTGGCTACCCCTGGTCGAACCTTGCGTACATCTGGTCGTGGGCAAAGGTGGCGTTAAGAGCCCGGCGGCCATGCAGAAGCACCTCGAACCAATATTGCCCTGTAGTCTGTGAGTGTGCCTGCTGCACTTCACGACTTGCTCTACGCCGTCGCCTCCCGAAGGCACGCGCGTAGTGAAGGCGCCGTCTTCCTCTAGGACTCTAAGGTTCCCCAAAGGCTCAGAGGCTCCCATGCCAGGGGCGTCCCTTTCGGCACAGCTCGAGTCCTACCCACAAACTTCACAAACAGGCAGAAGCTTGCGGAATCGGCGGATTGAGGGTGGCACCTGCGCCGGCCAAGGGACATTAAACCTTGCGTTTTTCCGGGCAGAACTGGCTGCAAAACCTGCCACTGCCCCTCCCACGTGCAAAACTGGGCGGCTGCTTTTTGGACAATGCAGCCTGCTCGGCTGGGTAACGCAAGACTCGCGATCATATGGAGGGTGTACTCAGCTGTGAGGGTTCCTGCTGTCTCTGTCCGCAGGGAGCAGGTTTGGTAGAGAGCCAGAAAGTCTGAGGAACTGGCGAAAGCTTCCGGTGCTGCCTTGTTCAGAAGGCTTTGAGCAAGCTTAGCTGCTCATCTGCCGAACCTTGGGCCTCACGAGTTGGGCCCCACCGTGCCAGCGCGAACATCTGGCTGGACGATTTGCTGGGGCACCCTTCATGTTTTCAGCTAAGGGGCGCGCCTTGAATGCTGCCGGCAAGGTGGCTAGTGACAATCGTACAGCTGAGCTGACTCACGAGGTGGGCGTGGTCCGAAACGTCAGGGCTCAAGCTTCAAAGGGGCAGCATGGGAGACTCATCTCTGATGGCACGGAGGTTGCCTTACACCAAGCTCCACTTAGATTTCCTGCTTTGGCCGCCCCTTGACCTTGAAGCTGACATTGACAGGGCGAGAGATAGATCCCTTCATGGTGCGCATTGCAGACACCAGGCTGTGTACGCGTCGGTGAACTCTGAACACAGAAGGGCTTCCAGAGAGCTCCAGAAGCAGGCTCTGCAACAAGCCGCTTTTGTCAGGAGCCGTGATCGCAGCTTCTCTCGCAGCCCGTGGAAGGAGGATGCTGGATCTTGGCAGAAGAGGACAGAGCCGGTCAGTCCTGAAAATCGTCACTCGCAAAAAGCCTGGTGCAACGGGCTGCGGGTTACAATCAGACGAGCTTGGGAGTGAGACGGGACTCCTTCGCCACACAGGGAAACTGCATCTGGTTTAAGGCTACACTAAACGAGCCTTGAAGGCCACTGTCGTCTGAAACCTGGTGTGGAGAGCTCAAGAGCTGGGAGGGTCGAGCGTGTCAGGCAGACAAAGCAGACGTGACATGCGACTACCGAAGTCCTCAAATGATGCAACGGGGTCTACCGGGCACAGAACATTCCGGCAGTCTCGTAGACGCCAGGATGCTTTGGGCTCTTTGGGCTGCTTGAGCTCCTGGTTGCCCTGACACAAGCGGCACGGGACAGCTCGTATCCGCAACTTCCGAGAGCCTGCAACAGTCGTCCGATGTCCGACACTAGTGCTTTCGCCTTTTCTTAAGAAGTGCTGGAGTCCATCGTTGACCACCTCGACCCTGGCCTCTTCAGCCCCGTCAGCTGCTGTCAGCTGCAAATCTCTCGAGCCACCACCAGTGAGCCACTGAGGTACCCGGCCGCTCGACTTTGCTCCTTCCAACCCGATGCGCCTTTGTCTCTGCCTCAGTGCACCTGACCGCGAGGGCACGATAGTTTGAGAACCTCATATTGCCCAAGGGGGTACGTGCTGGGTTTGACCATTTCGACCTTGCAGCCTGCAAGTCAGAGCCAGTGAGCGTTCTGACAATCAAGGTCCCTCCGAACAAGATGGACGAACCCCGTGCCATGCAATTCGACACGAAGTAGCTCAAGTACAAAGCAAAGAAAGAGCAGTGGGAGTCGCCGAAAGGATGAGAACGACCAGACAACTTAACCCGCGTCGTCAGAGTCCTGCTTAGCAAAGGCGCCGAGAAAGTCGCGGATCCGTGCTCTGCCTGCACTCCACAACCGAGCTCGCAGGATCGTCTCCTTGCAATGCGCAAGAAGCGAGCCTCTGCACTTGCAGCCTGCATTGACCTGCATCTCCTGCTTCGAGCGGGGCGCCTTGCTCTAATCGACGGGTATGCATGACATGGCAGGCTTGGTCGCTTAGGACTGGCTTTCATGCCGGCCGCACCTTAGGGCAGCAAGCATTAAAACGAGAGACAACAGCCGTTAACACATGCTCCACGAGCACTTGCCCGACATTGTGTCTTGCAAGCAGTTCCAGGGGAATGGATGTAGGGATGGAGGGGGTTTGCACTGGCAGCGAGGCGTCATGCCTTGACGGACGCTGCCGTCTCCCTCTCCGTCCTGTTCCTTGCAACGGCGGGCCTGCTGCCGAAGGGCTTACATCTGGACGCAATTAAGGACACATCGCTCAGGTCGGAAGCGCACCGCAAGGAGCTTTCGATGCGTGGCACCAGGAGCTTTGCGATTTTCTTAACTCGACTCCCACTGCAGATCTCTGGAACCGGGAACGAGCATTGCTGGCGACAGCGGCAGACCGAAGTGCCGGGTTGGAACGTCAGAGGTTGGAAGGCCTTGGAAAATCCTGGGGGAACGAGCATTGCTGGCGACAGCGTTGGAACGTCAGAGGTTGGAAGGCCTTGGAAAATCCTGACCTAAACAAACACCAAGCAGTCTTCAGCCATTCGAAAGGTCGAGCAAGGAGCGTCCTGCAGGCGTCAGAGCAGGCTCCTTGGGCATGCAACGCTGCAATGGCCCTTGCGTGTTGCAGCTCCGGTGATAGCTGCGGACTGGCCAAGCCCAGAGCTGGAGCCAGCGCTAAGCACCGTCCGCCAGACTGGCATGAGTCGACGCAGTTTGGACCGGAGTCACCGCTGAGGGGATGTCGGGGTTTGAAGGATAACTCAGGAAGATGGAGAAACCAGGAAGATAAGACACGGAGGATCGCCGTGAAGAAGATCTTGGAAAGAACAGTTGCAGTGACCACGTCCAGTCTGCAGGTCTCAAGTTCTGATGTCGTCACAGCTTCTCGTGTAGTCGTTTTGGGTTGATTGGGGGTCGGGAAGATGCCTAAGGGTGGACATGATTGGCGAATGGATGTGCGTGAAAGTTGAGCACATCACGAAGCCCGAGATTGTAACAACCGCATTGCCGTGACAAGGCGTTCTAGGGCGTTGCGTCACGTGCAGCCTCCTACCTTAGACCGGGACGGCAAGGTCTGGGAGCCCGGTTTCAAGGAATTTATGGATTCTGCGACCTCAGAACAATAAACTGCGCACCTTGTTTGTTACTCTCTTCAAGCTTCTTGGAGAGAAGAGCTGCCTCTGTGGCTCTCACCGCCTCAAGCCCAAGTTTCTGGTCGTGGCCAGCTGGGGCCAGTTCTCACGAGAGCTCCGCATTGGGCAGTGAAGCTCCAGGTACAACCCGACTCGGCTACTGTTCATGCGACGTCCGTGCTAGGGGTGCCTGCTTGGCTCAAGCTGGATCGGACACACATAGGGCCTGGCATCATGAAGTGACTCTCAGAAATCACGGAGGGAATCTGCGGCAGCTTGCTGGGAGCTCACCGCCACGGCTACGAAAGTGAATTGTAACAGCCGCATTGCCGTGACAAGGCGCTCTAGCGTGTTCTCCTACCTTAGACCCGGACGGCAAGGTCTGGGAGCCCGGTTTCAAGGAATTTATGGATTCTGCGACCTCAGAACAATAAACTGCGCACCTTGTTTGTTACTCTCTTCAAGCTTCTTGGAGAGAAGAGCTGCCTCTGTGGCTCTCACCGCCTCAAGCCCAAGTTTCTGGTCGTGGCCGGCTGGGGCCAGTTCTCACGAGAGCTCCGCATTGGGCAGTGAAGCTCCAGGTACAACCCGACTCGGCTACTGTTCATGCGACGTCCGTGCTAGGGGTGCGCGCTTGGCTCAAGCTGGATCGGACACACATAGGGCCTGGCATCATGAAGTGACTCTCAGAAATCAAGGAGGGAATCTGCGGCAGAGCTCCGCCACGGCTACGAAAGTGAATAGCGCACCGTCTCCGAAGATCGCTTGCCCAAAGGGGGGTAACTTGCGCTAGGCGCAAGGATGTATCACCTGAGCGTTTAAGACTGCTTCTGAGAGCGCAGAAAGTCGCAGCCTGCTCGGACGAACTGTGATCCGAGCCTGTGAGTCTAGTCTGTAAACTTCCGACTCTAGGGGTATATCTCTATAGTTCTCTGAAGGACCGGCGACGATCCGCTACGATCCATCCATGTCGACTGCGGCCTCTCCGCACCCATCTCTTAGTGGCTCACGACTTTCCCAGGTGCTGTCATAATCCTGGCCAGGCTTAGTTGCAAACCGGTACCGGCAGTGCCAATTTCTAGAAGTGCTTCTTGCATTCCGTCACCGTCTGGAACCCTACTTGGGAGACCAATGAGTGGAGCTGATGAGTGTGGCGAGCACACAAAAGGGGGCAGGGCCGGATCTAAACCGCAATCTGCCTTCTTTCTCAGGCTGCGGGGCTGTAAAGTCTCGAAGACACAGCTGGCACATGCGAGCTACCAGGCTTGGCCAAAGCAATGACTTTGGCTCCCCACTGCTCTCAAACGACAGCAGAGTGCAACTCTGGTGACTTAGTAATTGCAAGCGACCTCCTGTACAGCTGGCATCACCCGTTTGTAGTCACGCTTCACTCCGCCACTTGCGCCTCGACAGCGTCTGGAACCCTACTTGGGAGACTAGTGAAGGGAGCTGATGCGTGTGGAAGCAGGCGAGCATGCAAAAGGCGGCAGGGCCGGATCTGGACTGCAGCCTTCCTTGTTTCCAAGCCGCGGGGCTGTGGAGCTGAGACTCGCAAGCCTCGAAGACACAACTGGCACAGGCAAGCTGCGAGGTGTGGCCGAAGTGACTTCGGCTCCACACGGCAATCCTTGGTGCTGTCAAGCGAGAGTGCGGCGCAACTCAGGTGACTACCACAACTCGTTGGCCTCGCAGTCTCTCTTGACGGCTTCTGACGGAGGGCTTGTGGCCCGTTCGGCGTAGGGACGCGGAGACGAAGCGAAAGCCTCAAGATCGGGGCGGAGGGCACAAGAAGGGTCCAGAGAAAAAGCGGAGACCTCGGCTTTCCGACTTCCCAGCGTCCTGGAATGCTTGGCGGTGGCTTTGTCAGTGAATGCTCAGAAGGGCTTTAGAACCATCAGGCGACTGTCGGGAACCGTCAGAGCCGTCTCAGAAAGAAGCTGAGCACTGCCTCGAACGACGGTTGAGACCCGTTCCGAACCGTGTCGAGCCGCTCTCTCAGATGTCCAGAGCTTAGGTGGTTTTGCTTGCAAAAACAGCGGGCTTCGGATCTGAGCTAAGTACAGAGCTTCCCGCCTTCTCGCTTAAACTTTCGGACTACCAAAGCAACCCACACAGGCCAGGGAAGAGGGGCGCCCGGGCAGAGATGTGCAGCTACGGGTCATTGTCGCGTACGCACGGCCTCTGCCGACTGAGCCTCGCGCTGCCAGTGGCTGGGGCCCGATCTCGAAAGCTCGAAGCAGGGCTCGGCATCCCCCAACGGCACATGCGACGGCTGGAAGAGGCTCCCGTCGGGCAAAGTTGTGAAAGAGCTTAGCGCCAGTATTTTGAAGAAACTCAAAAACCAGCAGACGGGGCGGGGAATGCAACTCCATCCGTGGCTAGCTTGAAGGACGACCGGTCTGTCGTCATGATGACGTGCCTGTCCCTCCGGTTATTCATGAACTTTCGGGGTCGGCGACGTCCACGCCCGTTTGGGCGTGACGCGGGGCGCCCTGAACTTGCTTGCCTATGCTGCACCGGAACTTCACCAGCCGGGACGGCATTGATACGGGAGACTTTAGCAGGGCGCACTGTGTGTGCCTGAGAATGGTCTGCGTTGGCCCTTTAAGGGAAGAGCTCTGGCACAAAGGAGGAAGAAACATGGAATCAGGAACACTGTGGCCTGGTCGGCCGGGTTGCCAGTGCCCGGCATCTCTGATCTCACTCTGACAGGCCAGCAGCATGCGCGCAGGAGCTTGAACGGTAGGCCACAGTCCTGGGCGCTTTCTGAGTGCAGGAGCCATCCTTCCGCTGCTTCTGTACAGAAAGGCTCAAACGGACATGGGAAGAGGCGCCGCATGCCAACCTTCACCCGAATCTGACACGTCGCGTGGCCGGCCGTCGAGAAGGCTTCGGCAGCCCTTTGTAAGCATCAAGGCTACTGCAGAACTGGCGCCTCTCTTCGTTTTCGGGGAGCCCTTTAGGCAGGGAAGTGCCTTCATGGTCGCCTGCGGGCTCATCGTTGACAGCTTTTGACATGTACGTTTAGAGACACCAACTATGAGGCTTCTGAGCTTGCGGCTGGTAGTTTGGTCTTGCAACATGACACTCGGCGGAGGGGAGGTGCGACTTGTGTAAACGCTATGCCGAGAAAGCTGTGCCGCTGCGGTTTGTTCCATGGGCTGGTGAAGTTGCGAAGCCAACAGATTCAAAATGCACCAAACAGATAGTATCGGGCCATTCACCTGGCTGCTCTCCCTCAATGCGCGGGTATTACAGCTTTCTCTTAGGTCGACCCCGCCTGCGCTCATGGTGTTTGCAAAGCACAGCATCCGGCACTGAAACATCTTGCTCTCCACCCGCAGGCCAAAGACATGCGAGGGAGGCACTTCCCGCCACGCGTTGCCCAGTGAACCTGGGAGCACGAGCTGGCACTGCAACTGCGAAGATAGAAAGCTCGTGTTGAAACTATGAGGCAACATGAAGGAGGGGAGGTTAGACTCACCCAACACGTTGCGAGAAATCTGCATTGCTGTTGTCTGTGCCAGTTGGAAGATTTGCGAAGCCAGAAGCTTCATCATGCACCACAAGAATCGTGCTCGGTCCTTCGCCTGACCGCTCTGCCTCAATGCGCGGGCATTACGGGTGGCTGCTAGGTAGACAGCCGGGCGGCTTATCTTAAAATTGTGCCAGTTTAGCTCCTTTACTCACAGGCTTTGTGAAGCACAGCATCCACTGCTGAAATATCTTGCTCTCCACCCGCCGTCCAAAGACATGCGAGGGAGGCACTTCGCACCACTTGTTGTCCAGTGAACCTCGGAGCATCGGCTGGCACCGCAGATGCGAAGCTAGAAAGCTCATGATGAACCAAATAGGACGCACTCCATCACTTGATGAAGGGCGCCCCAGGCTTCTCAAGCCGGCTCCCAAGCTTCCTCCTCGACACGTTGGCTCTTCCGTAGCCCTAAACGGAGAGATTGAAAATCGAGAGGCCGAAGGCTGCAGACATCGCAGGAGCTCTCCTTCTCGGAGGTCGCAGCGCCGAGGCTCTGTGAAAAAAGCATGGCGGTGATGGTCACGCAGAGGCGCACACAATCCGAGCAAAGTTGGGTTCCAGCAGAATTTGGTGACGCAGATATGCAAGAACTTTGCTCGACCTATGACTTCATACTTCTTGCCTGGAAGTCCAGCAATCAACAACACTCTTCGTGCGAGAAGCACGCAGCATTGCACGCGACGGTGAGCGCGCTCTCCCTCACAGCGAAAAACACGCCGAGCAATTCAGCGCTTCCTGCCATACTGGGCCGACCAAGCAATCGCACGGCAAGAACCAGAATGAGAGGGGTCGCAGTGGTGACAGTGCTCGTGACGGTGGGTCACGCAGAGGCACATGCAATCCGAGCAAAGTTGAGTGCCAGCAGAATTGGGTGACGGAGACATGCAAGAACTTTGCTCGACCTATGACTTCGTGCTTCTTGCCTGGAAGTCCCGCTATCATCAACCTTCTTCGTGCGAGAAGCACGCAGCATTGCACGAGACGGTGAGTGCGCTCTCCCTCACTGCGAAAGACACGCCGAGCAATTCAGCGCTTCCTGCAATACTGGGCCGACCAAGTATTGTACAACAGCAAAGTCCCAGCAGGCCCCAAACTTTTTGTGTAACTTCTGATGGGGGCTGTGGCGAAGCTTGATGCAAGGGCATGACCTATCGACGACTCGGAAGTTAATGGCATGGGCGGCATTGGCATTGCCAGCATGTGAAGCATGCGAGGCAAGCATGACTGCAGATGCTGGCCTCTTCCAGACTTAGCCGACTGGCTACTTCCATAGGGTTAGAACGACGACAGTTGGTGTCAGTGACAGTTAGACAGGTCGGCTTCTGCAGCACCTGCATTAACACTTGGCGTTGCGGATGCCTTCGACAAGGGCAGGCAGGTGCACGCCTTTCCCCAGCACGGAACTCTGGGCGAGAACACCGCAGCAAGCGCCATGACGGAGTGGCAAGCAGAATCTTCTGAGGTTTATGCAAGATGGGGTCGGAACTCCTCGTCGCTCTGAAAGTGGGAGGATCTAGGGCAAGCATGGCAGTTCCCTGCATTGCATGCGTGTTCGTGAGCGAGAAGTCCGCTATCCCACCTAGGAACCAGCTACGGCACCAAGGCGTTTCGTGGAGGTGGCCGGGCAGCACACTGCCGGACGAAGAGCGGCTTCAAAGGCAGTCTTGCAGAGATGGCAGAGGTGAGTGAAGCACTGCAGCTGTGGCAGCTTCGTTCTTTGCCGCACCGCCTGCATCTTGAGAGCCATACCATCATACCATCGGTTTAGGGCTTCGGTTTAGGCTTTTCATCGACCTTGGGTGCAGGACTTTCCCTTCACGAGGCCCGAAGCCTGTCTCAAGGGAAGAATCAGCCAGTGTGCAGAAATCAGGAGAAGTCTGAAATCTGAGAAACATTGGACATGTTGGTGTCCGGGATCCGACACTTCGACGACACGATCAGCTGAGGGCCACTCATTGAACCGCCATCCTTGAACCTCACAGGTTCGGAACAAGCAAGCCCAAGCAGGCAAACGTGAAGATAGCATGGAAGCCTCTCTGCCATCGTGCCAGGCACTTGCAGTCAGCAACCTTGATGCTTAGAGCCCTCGCTTCGGAGGACAAATTCCCGATTGAAAGGCGCGGGCCGCGCCCGGACGGTGGGGGGCAGGCTGGAGCCACTGGCTTGCAGACGTCCTGCGGAGTTCGGTCAAGCTCCGTCGTGAAGCATCACGGTTTCACTTATGGCACAGGCATCTGGGTCCGGGGTTGCTTCATGGCCGACCCCGCCCAGGAGCTTTTCTTCTCTGAACTTCAGCCATGGATCGGAGCAGAGCCCACTTTGCCATGGATGCTAGTGGAATGCCAGGTCTGCTTCAAAGCTCCTCTTTACATCGTCTTCCCAACGAAGTTCACCTACGTCTCTCAGAGCTTCAACGGCACAGACGTTCTTTCGGCTTTGGGGCTCTCGCATGGAGACCTTCTGCACAGGCCTCAAGGAGGAGCTCTGGGACATATGGGCTTGGTGAGCGGGGGCGAGATATCGAAGCTCGCTGAAATCAAACCTCAGCATCGGATACGCCCGCAGCCTCGGCTACACAGCCGACGCGGCCCGAAGCTTAGAAGCCAAACCTTCCCGAAGCTTCACAATCTGCAGCTTGGGTCTTGTGTGCGAGACATGGGCCCGAACGAGCGGAGAGCTCGGCAGGGGGACAGGCATCTGGGCAATGCTGCGGCCGACTTTCAGGGTTTGCGGGTTAGGGTTTAGGGACCTTGCTAGATGTGAGCCCAGCTGGACATCATCTGGAGAAGTGGCCGAGGTCACAACCACAGCTTGCTTCGAGACAGCAACCGAATTGGCAAAACTCACGGATCAGGCGACTCCGTGCGACCGGATGTTTCGAGACCAGCCGCACAGAACAAGCTCCAGGCCAGTGCTCGTGCTTGCTACCCGAACAGCCGACGGGATCCGTTTCACGTTCACGAATATCCGGCAAGAGCACACAAGCTTTAAAGCCCTCCTGCGGCTCAGGTGTTTCAGGCCACTGGGCCCCGGCTGGATTTCGAGGAGCTGCGTGTCGATGGCAAGCCTTTCGGGCCCCGGGCTTCCCATCAGACCTTTGGAAGAACCCCAAGCAAGCCGGCAGTGCGGACACCTCAACTCCTTGGACAGGCTTTGGCACGCCCCGCCGCTTATCTTAGAGCGCATCGCGCGGGAGCGCTTCATGCCGCCACTCCACAACTCACTGAATTGCGGGCGCTCTGGCAAGCCACCGAGGCTTTTCAGGGCATTCCCGCGGTAGAATGTAGACGGTGAGATCGACCAAACGGCTGGGAGCAGAATGTTGGAGAACCAACATCGGGTAAAGGCAATAAAAGACATCGCCGAGCCCGATGCGAAGCTCTACCTTCACCTCGGGCTCGGCACTGCAGTTAGCATTCAGGGTTTCGGGTTCAGCCGTCGCGCCATGACTCGTTACATCGCGAAGCCTTCGACGGTTGCCTCCCTTTCAACCCCGGGTGCCCCTGGAAAGCCCAGCTGGAAGGCCAAGCGCCAAGAACTCTCGAAGGTTAGGTTGGCGGCATCCTACCGCTATCGAAGGCAGATCAGAGAAGACGTGTCGGAAGGGGTCTCTGCCACACGATCTCGCCTGCAGCAACAACTCGTGTCCAAGTAGCCCTCTCCTGCAGGCAGCGAAGGGGAATCTTGAGGACAAGGAAGATCTCGTCTCAGAGTCTCAGAGCACTCCGTCTGCAGGTGACGGGTGGGTGCGACGGCCACGACGGTGTGGGGAGGCGGCCTTTCATGGCTCGCGGGGCTTCGGAGGACCGCCGCCTCCACGGGGGCCACAAAGCTACGGCAAAGGGCGACCGAAGCCTGCTTTTAACACTCGCGGGCCTGGCGTCGAGCTGGCAGAGGATGTCTCGGACTAAGGAGAGAGAGACACGTCTGGAGCCTTTGGGGAACGTGGGGCACGTGGGCGGTGGCCTGCAGCCACGAGGCTCAGCTTGCCGCTAGCCGCACGAGGCCGGATTACACGGACAACACACAAGTGTAGGCGGGATGAAACGCTTGGGAAGACCGGAGGAAATTGAAGAAAGTGCTGAGTCCTGGGCAACTTCTGGAGCCCTTCAAGGACATCACTCCAGGGGATTGCGGTGAAGAAGCTCTGAAAGCCGGAGGCCAGCCAAATCTCGATGAGCAGGGGGCCCTCCTCGGTGAACATCCGGCATTCAGCCACAGGCTCGTGAGGCACCAGCTTTGGGAGCGCTGGCTTCAGGAGCTCCGGCATTTGCATCACTGCAAGGCACGCGAAGTCGCGGAAGCCCTGTCACCACACCAACTCAATCCAACTACGTGCTCTGAGGCTGCGCGACACGCGCTGAGAATGAGATTTCCGACGACCCTTTGTTTGGGAGGCAGTCTTTTTAAGCCACTCGCTGCAAAGGGCCGGCGTGCAAGAATAGCATGCCCGGCGTTTCTGTCATTAAGTCAGGGTCGTTTCGGGCATCACTACGGGTTTGGGCCCTGGTATGAGCAGGGTGAGGTCCGCGATGAGAGGCACTGCAGCTGCAGTGTGGGACTCGTTGCAGATGGCCTTGACGGCTAGGGAGCCCTCAGCTCTACTTGCAGAGCTCCTCACAAAAAGAACATGCCCTGGAAAGCCTCTTCTCTCCGCACCGCGAGGCCACCTCTTTAAAAGCTGCCATGGGCGTCTCACCAGACGGCATCTGCCTGTCGAAGTACCGCTCAACTTGACGCCGCGGGGGTTCGAAACTCCAAACGTCGTTAAATCTAAGCCCTTACAGTCCCCAAATTCCGTAAGAACCGCGGATGCTTCCGGCAATTCGAACAGGCTCGGATCAGCAGTGCCAGGAACGAGCCGGCTGCGAAACCGGGCCCTCAAGCTTTCCCAACTTCAACGCGGCAAGAGCCGCAGAAGAGGCGAGCTTCGAAGACGGGAGGACGTGCTGCGAGATCGAAGGACAGGACAGCCTCGGGTATCGGAGTGGAATTGGAACCGAGAGGCTCGCAGCTGGGACCAGAGCCTTAGACAAAGGGTCTCGAGGACTTTCCATGGCTGTAGCGGGCGAACTCCTCCGAGTGACCATGGACTATCGCGGCTGTTGCACACTGCATCAGACCGGCCTCAGGACGAGGTGCCAAGTTGCCTTATCACTCTTATCACCTTTAACCGTTCATCTCATCAGTGAGACAAACCTCCGAACGAAGGTGGGCACGACGGCTTCACCTCGCATCTGGCTGACTTGGAACTAGACTGTGGCACAGGAATCCTTTGCAACCCCGTCACCCAAGCACTGTGGGCCTCGTATGGTTCAAAGCTGCATCCAGGAGCTGAAGCTGCAAATGAAGCTGTGAAGGCTGCGAGAACCAAGCAGCAACCGCCAAGAGATCATGCAGTGCATTAGCCGATTTGCGTGCTTGACCCCGTGCGGAGATTTCCGATTGCCTAGAGACTTTGGCGACCGAAGCCCGAGGCCCACCTTTTGAGGATTCTCGGGCAATTTGTGATCTAGGAATGAGCCGGAGCCACTCTGCAGTCAGCACAGGAATCTTGTTGCAGGACCTCAGGACACGTTGCCTTACCTTTGGCAAAGCTGTGATCAGCCTCCACGGAAGTCTCAAACACGCCTTGGCTCTGATATCTTCACTTGAAGCTACCCTTAAGCAAGTAAGTGCCACGAGGGAAAAGCGGGAGAGAACGATGAACCGGCACCCTCTCTATAGCAGGCACTTCTGGCATGACGGAGGATCCTCCCGAGCCATCATCATCGCAGCCTGCCGCTTCAAAGCAAAAGGCTTTCCTTTGCAACAGGGCTGCTTTCGACACGTGCCGGAAGGTCGGGCAGACCATGCTACGGCTGGCATCTTGCAGAAAGGCGGCGGGAAGGAATCAGCCACGCAGCTGCTGAGCGGGCAGGAGCCACGGCACACTTCGGCACTCTCCCACTGGAGCACTTCCTCTGAACGGCCTCCATCCTCGCGTGCCAGAGCGTTGCACATCGACCCAACGTCCCCTCACTTGACGGACGAAGATCCCCGTTCCTTTTCGACGAGAGGCCAACTACTGTAACCCCTGAGGGCCCCCTAAACCGAGGGCCTCCTTTTGTCGGACATGGGCCGGCCCATGGAAAGTCTCTGGATTAGGGTTGAGGCTTTAGGCTTTGCGGTTCATCGAACGAAAGTCCGAAGCGCTAGGATTTGGAGAGTTCGGGAGCCTCTGCGTCGAGGTGTTGCTATTTTCCTGCCACTACGCGGGATCTATAAGGTTACTGAAATATAGGGGCCTTACTAGTTAGACTAGGGTTTTGGGGCCCAATGCGCACGGCGGAGGTACGGCCTTGCCTTTGCAGGTAGCACACGGCGCGCGGATCTTGCGTGATGCTGTGTACGCTGTCACAGCATCGGCGGGCCATTCCATCACACCTGGCTGTTCCCAATTAGGGAGCCCCGATGGCAACAACATCATCAACAAAGACGAAAGTGACAGTCAGGACAACAATCAGCAAACAGCAGCCGTAGCAATTGTGAGTCGGAGGAATGTGCAGGCGAAGGAATGCCACGATTCTGATCGTCATGAACATACACATCATCACGGGCATCAACACTGGTGGCGATCAATACTTTCTTAGTTATCCTCATCTTCGTCGCCCTCGTCGACATAGCATGACATGACCATCATACTCATCGTCATCTCCACCAACATTGCCATCGTGATCATTAGAGTAGTTCTCTTCTTCTGCATCTTCACCAGCGCTGTCATCGCCATAACCTCATCGCCCCACTAGCTTTACTATCGTCATCATCATTACCATCATCATCATGACCCTGGTCATCATCACCATCATCGTCAGCATCATCACCACCATCGCCACCATCATCATAATAATCACCAGCACTGCCATTATCGTAGTCATCATCACCATCAACTTTAACAATCGCAAACAGCACCACCACCACCACCACCACCACCACCACCACCACCACCACCAGCATCACCGCCACCACCACCACCACCACCACCACCACCACCAGCATCACCGCCACCACCACCACCACCATCACCACCACCACCACGGCCGCCACCACCACGGCCGCCACCGCCAGCCCCGACCCTATCACAACAAGAACCGAACAAATTTGAAAGCCCTCCCACCCACACATGGCTTCCGTGAAGGATTCTTGTTGCCACGACCATTGACAAGCGCGAGAGGTGTTTCCAAATATTGCACCAAGGTACCACTCAGCATCGCTGCATGGTCAAGACGTCGGAAGGCTTCAGCGTGGAAGGTGGCTCAGCAGCTGTGTTAATCCGTGGGAAACTCCTTAGCCGGATTGGTGGTCGGTCGATTTATTTTAACGCATGAATGTGGTATCCCAAAACTCTAAGGCCCTGAAGTGAGCTGCTGGTCTTGCCATCTCCAATCTCACCATCCCTGACACCCCTCGCTTGGGGTCTTGGAGGGTCATGTGTAGTTACAAATAGAGTTACAGTAGATAGCCTCCGTCCTTAAGAGTATTGTATAGGGAATACCAGCCCTATTTGGCTTTAGTCCGGTTTCCAACTTTATAGGGTTTACTGTATAAGTTCCCTAAAAAACATAGACTATAGTGACTTTAGTTGCAATACTCGCATCTCCACTTATGAACCTCCAAGCCAGCCTGAAGGCAGTTTGAGGGAATAGGGTCTCGCGGGTGTAGGGCTTTTGGGGGGGTCCTCACCATAAGGATCCTACGAGAGAGCC